TTGTTGTGTTGATCGACAGTAGCATTAACTTTTTTTTCCGACAATACTATTGTGTTGACCGACAATGTTAATGTTACACATTAACATATCAACAATTTTATTTTTCAATTATTCTTCTAAAATACATTTTTCCAATCCATATAAACATAATTGAACTACTACAATGCATTTCGTCTCATCTCATAATGTAAACAAACATTGCTTTCATTATCAAATACATTCCCTAAAATAATTATATTTTCCCAAAATAAAACAAAAAAAATAACTCCCAAAACCATCCTAAACATTTTTACTTCCAACAAAATAACTTAAACTTTTTGCTCAAATTTATAGCCACACATTACAAAGTTGCATAAACGACTTCATCCAAACACAAGTGCGCAAATTTATAATGAATTCTTTTTTTTTTTTTTAAACAATAGCTACAAATATCCAACATTTAATTACAAATTGACTTACTGTTCCTATTAGTCAATTATTATAGTGGATATATATAAAATGTGGGAGAGTAGGGTGCACGTAATTTCTATTGCATAATTAATTGGTAAATAAATATTATTTTGTTCTAATTAACAATTTGCTGCATATATCACATAATACATGACATGGCATTTAACATTAATTGGAATCATTCATTTGAGCAAATTATTCGAGACCGAGTGACCGTTATATGATATATGTTAGTGGATGATGGTATGAGTTTCGTTAATGTCAAAAGCCATTTTTTTTTGTATTGAAAAATAGAAAAAAGAAAGAGAGAGGAAAAAACGGAAATTTGGAGGAAATAGAGGAGAGAAATCAGAGGGTTGAATAAAAAAAAATGAAAATTGATCGTTTCAAATTGAGCGTGGAATAAAATCGACTACTTTTTCATTTTGTTTTAGGGAAGTTCACGTTCAGCCATGTGTATGTGTGCGTAGTAAGTGATTATTTATGTAGGTCTACCGTTCGAAACTACATAGTGTATTTCACTAGGTGTAGGATCTCATAAATCGTGTCTTAGGTTGTTCAGAGATTTGCATGCCATAAGTAGTGTTGATAGTCGTGAGAAGTTGTGAGAGCCAGCCGTTTGGTCGTCGTATAATTTGAAATAATCGTCAATTTTTTTTATTTTTTGTTTTTCCTCCATCACTAAGTTTTGAAAAACCAACGATTAAATATTGGCCAAATTAAATATGAATGAACGTTGAGGTATATATATATATATATATATATATATATATATATATATATATATATATATATATATATATATATATATATATATATATATATATATATATATATATATATATATATATATATATATATATATATATATATATACAAGTATACCTAATAGAGAAATGATGGTGTAATAAGAAATATTGGGAATGAAATAAATATTTGTATATGTAAGTCAAACATCAATGACAATTTTATTTAATTTCCAATAGGAGTATAATTGTAATTTATTCTTGGATGTAGTTCAATCCTATTGGCCTTATAAAAATTCCATATCCATTGTTCTTATTTGTATCATTTGTAAAAATGTCTCGTTGCCTGAATCTATCCAAGTTCCGTCGCCGGAGGGAGGCGCCGCCCCAGCTCCACCCCAGCCCACTAGTCCAATTGGCCACCGCGCCGGAGAATCTGCCACCCAAGATACTGAAAAAGTCAAACGACGATAACGGTAGCCCCCCGACGTTCGAAT